GAACGTGGAGAAGATACTGCCTATGGCAAAAATGGAACTTCACCCTCCATGAAGCAAGGTGAAATAATGCTCTCACACGGCACTTTTAGGCAGTGCTTCCAAAGGTATTAGGAAATTCCACAAAAAAAAACCATCAAATGATAAAAATATCAAATTGTTTTCTAGGATAGATTACACTTTAGGCAAAATGCACTCAAAGGCAAAAAAGAGGGAGAGAGAGAGAGAGAGAGAAGTAGGATTGAACCTAGGAAAGATAAACATTTTTCCATTCCGTTTCTTGATAATCCCATTATTGGCATAGGGATGATAAGGCGGTTGCTAAAAATAAGGGCAAGGCTCAAGTTTGAGAATTGGCAGGAAAATAAATGAGTTTGTGACATTCTTACCACCTCGATCATGATTTTTGTTTTTAGCAAGGGTGTGTTTAGAATTTTAACATCCTTGACAGTTTTCTCAGTAAATATGATTCCTATATGAAGTTTTCTAAAGAGGCTTCCAAATTATAAGGTAAGTGGAATACAGAGATTGAAATATATACCCCCAAAATACATCTTGGTAAAAACTTCTATTTAGTGACTAAATCACTAGAGTGGTACAAATATTACCAATAAATACATTTAACTTCTAAATTGTTTTCAAAGTTTAATTTACCTTTACCCTAAATTTCTTACATGAAATAATTATGTGTTAGTCATGTGTGCACTGCCCATAGGACATGGAAATAAGAGGAAGGGGATAAAAATAAGAGGATGACAGCTTGAGGAAGCCAAGATTAGACGTTCTGCAGCCCTTGGAGATCAGTAAAACGAGAGTTTACTAAAGATTCTAAAAGCAAAACAAAGAAATGGAAAATATGCTTGCTGTTATTTTTCTAAGTGAAAGAACTGAATTCTAGTAAGGCGGAAGAAATTAAATGTCTTAATTTTGTTTTAGAAGAGCTTGGTTTCATTGTAAAACTCATAGAAATACTGTAATTTGAGGTAGGCCTGCTGACCCTGAACTGTGGAGAACTTTAGATTTTTTTCTCTGACTGACTTAACCTATTTTTTTAATGTGAAAAATTTCAAACGAAGGGTAATGAGTTCTACCAAAGTAGTAGTTTTTCTAATAAATTTATATATATATATATATATATATTTCTCTACAGGTTAAACATTAATTCTTCTGCAAAATATTTTATTCTTTTCCCCTAAAAGAAAATGTGTCTATCTCTTCAACTTAGATCAGGAGAATTGCTTCTGCCGGCTCTTGTCAGGGGCCAATCTGCCTGGGTGCGATGCTTAGCAGTCATGGCTGGAAACAAATGGCAGCGGTTTGGGGAGGCTGCCTGGCCTTTTTGGGTTATGAGGGTCTCTCTGCGTTTCGGCTAACGTGATTGACGGCTCCGCTCCAGCTCCAATTAGCACCCTATAATTTATTAGCTTCTGCTTTCAGATTATGCGTTAACTTCACAAATATTTCAACCACGGAAACAGCAACTATCAAGTGTCTCTTTCCTGATCCAGCCCTCTGGGACTGGATTGAAATACAAGGAAACAGTCATACAGTTGGTCTGTCAAGTGAGAATAATCATTTGTGCCTATGCCTGTCTGGGGGCAGGACGCCTCTGATTTCTCCTTAGGTCTGCATCTGTGTGCGTGTGCGTGTGTGCGGTATCTGTGGGTAGATTCTGTTGTGTGGATACTTTATTTGTAATATCAGAGTTTAATTTATTTACAGGCAATAAGGAACAGCCAGTACTTAGGAACTGCGAAATTCGTGTTTGTTGAACCGTGCTGCTTGTGTAAATGTCACAAGTTCAGTTACACGAAGACAGCAACTGTGATAATGATACTGTCTTTAGGACCTTCCTTTACTTCAGATTTTAGGAAAATATAATAAACTCTAAAAATCCAGCAAGGAAGAATGGAATGTACAAACACCTTGACCAGTACAACCAAAATGTGAATTATTTGCATGCAAACTGTCAACAAACTACTAAAGCAATTTTATAAAGGGATCTTTTTTGTCTTTCAGTTTTGCTTATTTTTCAAGTCTTTTCAAACATCTTTCCATTTTGCCACCTATGCTCATGAATTACATTCCAAATGCAATTTATGGAGATGGCATTTATATGGAAAGCAGTTGTCTAAGTTCTATTTATTTAATTTTATCTCCTCCAACTCCAAAGTAACTAATCTCTAAGCACTTACAAAAAGAATTTTATTTTAATGAAAGTATGTATGGGTGCATAGAGATGCAGGCTTTGTGACTCTAAGCACAATGAAAGTTAAAGCTACGTGAAAAGTTGTTTGCTCCAGATGCAGAAGGGAACAGAACATGGTATACTCACCCAGAAAGAGCGAAAAGGGAAGTCTTCACACTCCCCACCTCTACCCTCTCCCCACCCCGGCCTGAATCAATCTTAAGTCATTGCTAGAATTTGCCATGCATTGAAATAGAACTTCAAAGGGGAAATGAGATGGGATGGCAACTCTTTTTAAACTGAAGGAGTAGAACAGATAGAGTTCCCTGAAGCTGGGAGACAGAGTTCTCAGCCAGCGGGCAATCGGCATAAGGATTACTTGGTGGTGGACAGCCATCTCTCCCCTTTTCATCACCTCTCCCTTGGCCTAGGCCAACTGCAAAGGGGAAGCTGTGGGTGAAGAGGACACCAAGGCCATGGGTAAGATTAGAACAGAAGGCAATCTTTCCCTCAGATCCCTAACCAGGTTTAGCACATGTAAAAAGTCACGTTTGCCTTTTCTAATGCCATCTCTCGTTTCCTTGAATGTCCTTTTATCAATTGCTAGATCCTTCTCTAACCTACATGGTTTCACTACTATTTGCAGACAGGCATGGAAGTTTGCTACGTTTTGTGTGACTCGGTGGGCCCGGGATGTCAGTTAGGGCTGGTAATTCACCTGTGTTCTCTCTGATGCTCTGATCACACAGAACTAAATCCTTACAGTTCGAGGTGGAGGTCGTCTTGCACTTCTGCTTTAGGAGGGTGTGGGCTGGAGGGAAATGCTGTGCTTCGTGTGTCACATGTGCCAGGTCTCTGGAGCCCGGACTGGCTTAGCAGTCTGGACGGTCTGTTCGGGATTGCCCCAAAGGCCAGTCCCAGTGAATGAGCAACCTGATATTCAGGTCAGATGCAGCTGAGCAGAGAGGTTGCAGTAATCAGAACCTCATGGCTGGGTAAATGCTCCCTGGGTGTTTGGCCATAGACCCTATGGGTGTTAACACAGGTGAAGCACAGGTAAAGAGCTGCTTCTAGGGAGAAATTCTTGGAGGTGTGTAGCCGAAAATGCACCCTTTCCTGTCTTCCACAGCATATGGAGTAGCAAATTCTGAAAAGCCCACTGAGACTAAACACATTTTACTTATGCTTGTATATACCGGTGATCTGTGCCAGTGGAACATGGATTAAAAAAAATCCACAGAGAAGTCCAAAGTTAATTTTAGTTATTGCTTCAATGTCCAAATCTCAGGCTAACTCTTACATGGCTTGGTTAGGTTGGGTGTGAAGAATTTCAGAGCAGCTAAGGCTGTTAAATACTGGAGTGAATTAATAAGAGAAGCAATAATACTTCCCTCCTGGTGAAGAAAAGAAATCTGCTTCTGACTGAATGGTCTAACGGTTGTGTCATTTGATGGAGTTAGGACAATGCCCTACGACAACTCCTTTGAGATCTGGGATTCTAGGTCTAGAAAGCATCAATCTTTGCCATTCCATTTTTTGCCCCTCCCTTACTCATCTATTGAAATGGAGAAAACAAGACCAAAGCTGAACAGCAAAGAGACAAATGGGAACTGGACAAGCAGTTGGGTTCCCTGGGTTGGCATCCTGGCTCTGCTACTGACTGCGTGAGTTATTTCTCCTCCGTGACCCTCAGTTTTGTCGTAGGAAGAAGGATATAATAATAATAAATACTGCACAGAATTGTGAGGCTTAAATGAGTTAATCTGTATAGAAGCCTTCAGATCAACACCTGGTGCAAGATAAATAATTAACATTAATTATTATTATTGTTATCACATCTGGTTGTAGCACAATCATACAGTAGCTTCCATCTGAGCAAAAACGGTAATATCATTCTTGTAATGGTAACACCTACCTCCCAGGTACCCAGATGATAGAAAGAGGGAATGGGTAACTCTGCCAAGCTCATTCTCTGAGCTTCTTAGCTGCTTCCAACTGCTGAGACTATTGCCCAAGATAAATTACATTTGCCTCTCCTATTGTAATGAAAGTCAAAACTTGGGCTAATATTATTATGCTTCCACAATGTACAAGGGCAATGTACAAAATCTCTCTCCTGGAAATTGCCTGAGCTCATAAATTTGAGACCAGCCTGAGCCAGAGAGAGACCTTGTCTCTAAAAATAGCCGGAAATTGTGGTGGGTACCTGCAGTCCCAGTTACTTGGGAGGCTGAGGCAAGAGAATCACCCAAGAGTTTGAGGTTGCTGTGAGCTGTGATGACACGACACTACCAAGGGCCAAGGGTGACAAAGTGAGATTCTGTCTCAAAAAAAAAAAAAAAATATATATATATGTATATACACAATCACCAATATTTCTAAAGCACTTTTAACCAATGACTCTAGTGTCTTAAGAGTTTAGAATTTTAGGAGTAATGACAATCCCCTCCTCTGTGATTGAGTGGTCTACAAGCAGTGCTTTCTGTACCATCTCTGTTTCTAACTTGCTGAATGCTAACAATTGGTAAGCCCTTAGCTTCTTCGGTGGCCATGATTTTCTCATCTGTGAAACAGAGAGAGGGTTCACCTAACTTCTTATCTCCAGGGTTGTTTAGAAGTGGGAAAGGGTTAACAGATTTCACAACACAGAAAACACTTTGGCAAAACAACAAAGAAGCATAAATACGCATATAGCTATAGTCATCTATGCACACATGTAATATTACCGATCAGATCACGCTACCATAAATTACTTTATTTTACTAAAGAAAAACTAAGATATTTATTTTCTTTCGATGAAACAACACAATGAACCCACAGTAAATAGACATCTTTAATGTTCATTTCTTCTTCCTCATCACCTTCAGCTTTGCCCGGGCACAGGCCTCTGCCCCTGCCCCAACACTAAAGTGACCAAACCACACAGACTGAGAAAAATATTTGAGGTATTGCAGACTCCATGGACGTTTCTTCCCCTCGTGATGAGTCTTAGTTCTTTCCCATGGAAAAACGGGGGTCTCTTTTTGCTTTTTTCATCCAGACCATAGATGAAGGACAGAATTTGTGGGAAAGCAAGCAGAGAAGAGTTTCTTCTTTCATCGTAAAATGTTCCTTGTAAAAAAAATGATATACATACATACATATATATAAAATACATCCAGTGCCATTGCAATTGTTCTGCCAAACACTGGGAAGTGCCACCTTGGTGGATGGATGTATTTCTGGAGTTTTAAACAGTTGTCCTACAACAGCTGCATTGCAGTAAGACTCGGGCAGGTGGCTTGAGATAAGCCACTTGCCACTCACATTCAGACTGAGGCTTCCATGTTCACAGTCCAAAGGAAAAAGTGTTTCTCTGTGTCTGGAGTGGGTGTTGTGGGGAGATGATGGGCAGGAAGGGAGCTGGAGGCTGAGCGCAGAGGAAGAAGGAATCTGCTTCTTTTTACATCTCTACCACAGTCTTCGATGCAAATACACAATTTTAAATCTGAGGATATCCATGTCAGTAGTGCTATGCTCACACTACCTAATGAAAGAATTCACATCAGCATAAAAAATATTCACACCAAAAGTCTCCTTGTCTTTCCCCCTTTCCAAGAAAGCTTATGATATCCTATCACCTGACTAAGTGATTTCACCACAGATATTTCCACTGTTTTGGCCAACATGATTCAGAGTCTTTGGGTCCATCCGCTCTTACAGCAGTGGGAATTAGTATTAGATGAAATTTCTGTAGTTGTGGTTCTTGGTTTTCCATACACGGAGAAGTTTGAAGTCTCTGCATTCCCCCCACGTCCTCATCCACGAAGTGAGAGGCACAGGTGCTGAGCCTCCAAGGCTGGTCAGAGGGAAAGGGAAGGGGAAACCCTGGGTCAGCAGATCAGCTCAGGAGGGACGCACCACAAAGAGAATAGCGGCGAGCTGCAAACCAAGATCAGAAGCTGTTACAAACCCACTCCATCTGAGCTCTGAGTGCCACCAACTGTACTATTGCAGAGACCTACAGGGAAGAAGCTGGCTGTCTAAAACCAGTACACATCCTTGTTTTTGTCCTGAGGCTGCACACCTGAAATTAGAAGAGAGAGAGAGAGAGAGAGAGAGGGAGAGAGAAAAGAAAGAAAGAGAGGGAGAGAGAAGGAGTGGGAGAAGGAAGGCACAGAGTATTTAAGGAAAGAGAAATATGAACACTACTGTTTTATTGTGAAAGTCACAGCCTTCATCAAAAGTCTGGTAAATGAAAGTAAACACAAAGCAAAGAGAAAAGTCAAATCTTCACCTGGAGGAAGGGGGAGCAGGACTACAAGGCAAGTGTGCACTTATTACATAACTGGTTTTTTTATTTGCCCTAAAAATAAGAAAAGAAAGCAAAACTCCCCAAAGCCTTATTTAAACGTACCTTTCAAATTCTACTCTTTAAGCCAGAGATTTAGCATTATTATGTTCTTTAAAGTTTTACCTTTTTAAGAGACCTTTTTATTGTGGCAATTTAGTCAATATCAGAGTCACATATTTTTCTTTCCTTATAACTGTCCCCAAGTCACAGAGGGTTTTAAACTACACTCTCTGCAGGTACTCTAGATCAGAGCTGTCCAATAGAAATACAATGGAAGCCACAGGCATAATTCCAAATTTTATACCAGCCACAGTGAAAAAAGCATAACAAGTGAGAATTAATTTTAATAATGCATTTTATTTAACCTAATATATTTGATGCAGAATGTGTTGAAAATTTTTCACCAAGCAATCAATATAAAAACATGAATGAGGTGAATTTTACATTCTTTCTTTGCACAGTTTTTTAATTCCAGTGTGTATTATACGCCGACGGCACCTCGTAATTTGGTCTAGCCACATATCAAGTGCTCAGCAGCCACATGTGGCTAATGGCTACTCTATTGAACAGCGCAGAGCTAGAACTTTAGCCCAAAATTTTATTTTCAAAAGAAGTCTTCTTTTAAGAATTACCAGCCATGTTAGGGCAGGGTCCTTACTTTATCGTCCCACCAACTCTGATAACACAGGGTCATCTGTCAGCTGAAACACAGCCTTGTCACGCAGATCCTCGGGCCACAGAAAGGGGGTCTCGCACTCAGCCTAGAGCTGTGACCAGGACTAGAGGGACTCCAGGGAGGTCACACTCCCCCCTCTGCTTACCTGAATCCACGCTGAGGCCCAAGCCCTGGGCCACCTCCCCTGCGGGGCTGGCGAAGGGTCCCCCGGGCGCGGCCCACGCGGCGCCGGCCTGCTCGCTCTTGGCCGAGAGCTCGCAGGGCGGGCTGCCAGGCGCCGGGGCCGGGGCGGGTGCGAGGCGGCCCGGGCGCCCCGAGGCGGCGGGCATCAGCAGCGGCCCGTAGCGCGGGTCGAAGTGGGGCGCGTAGACCTCGTGCACCGCGGCGGGGCGCGGGTAGGCGGCAGCCTGGGCTCCGAGGGCGCCGCCCAGAGCGTAGGGGTGGTGCGGGTGCGCGTGGTGTGGGTGCGCGTGGTGCCACGGCTCTGTCGCGCCCTGGTGCAGGTGGCCGTGCAGCGCGGCCGGAGGGTAGGGGTCGGCGGCTGCGAAGGGCAGCTCCGAGTGCGCGGCGGCCAGCGGGCTGCCCAGCGGCGCGGGCACCGGCGTCTGATACGCGCTGTTCCAGAAGGAGGCGGGGAAGCTGCGCTGGCTCATCGGGAAGGAACCGTCTGCGGGCGGAGGGGAGGAGAGGAAGAGAGGTGCGTGTCACCGCCGCGAGACGCGATCGCGGACCTGCCAGTGACAGCTCTACTCGCGCTGCAGTCACCGAACTGGGAAGTCCCGGCGCCGCGGAAACCGGCAGCCTCCGCCCGTGGAGCAGCGCCTAAGGGGGCTGCAGCCTGTGACAACGCGGCCTGGGCACCGCCGAAGGGGTGCTTCCGCGAACGCCGGGGGAGATGGTCGGTTTCATCCGATTTCCCGGACGCGTCCCCAGTGCCCAAACCGGGGGGCGGCAGGAGAAGGAATATCGGAGATCTCCTTCCCTCCAGACCCAAGTTTTGGGGTGCAAAGAACATTCCCCCACTCTGGCCAGCTGCCAGAGCAGACACGGGCCTCCCTTTCTCAGCCTCAGCTTCTCCCGAAGCTAAAGATACCTCTTTCCACTTTGGTCGGCCGCATAGCGAACTCGCCTTTCTCAAGTCTCAGCCCTCGTTGTTTCAGAAACTGCCCCTGCGAGGCCTCTCAGATAGACGTGGAGGCCCATCGACAAATATCAAAGTCTTGTTATTATTAGTTTTCTTTCTAGAAACCTTCTTACAAATATTTTTTTCCAGGAACTCAAGCAAAAGAGTAAACTAGTCATTTTAAAAGGGTGGTTGTATTATTTGCACAGCGGGACACGATGGGTCAGGTCTTTCTAAGTCAACATTCTGCGTCAAAGCGAGGGCACCAGGGATAATAAAAAATTATGGTAAGTACCACTGTCGATCCCTACAGTCTGGTAGCATTTTAAGAAAACAGCATTTAGATCAAATTTATTTGTTACCATTGGTAGCGAAGGAGAAAAATACAGCTACTTAATTCAAGGAAGCTTTATTGAGCACTTCCTCTGTCGAAGGTCTCTGCACCATATACTAGAGAATTCTAAATGATTTGAAAATGCTTTTTAAACGGTGAACAGCCTTCCTGTTAAAAATACTTTTGCCAACTGAAGAATAAAAATAATTCTGTATTTAAAACTAATGTTTTGGGGTCTTGTCTATGGAGAAGGCTTGTGCAAAGTGTTAAACTCTCTTAAGAAAAAAAAAAACGTGTGTGTATGTTGTCATTTCCTCCCAACAGACAAACGAAAATGAATGAATGAAAATTCTTTCCTTCCTTCCTTCCACAAAGTCCTCATTTCTCAGCTGGCCATACACACAAAACAGCTTAGGTTAATGGTTCCCCCAAACTTTGTCTTGTTGATAATGAAGGAAGTTGAAATTTTAGAATAGAAGAGAGATTTAGTTGACTTTTCTAATAAATTATTGTCCGAGGCTAGGGTAAAGTAGTACTTTGTGAAGAAGGTAGAACAATAAAGAGGAAATGTGGGGGAAACCTTAGAGATGTTTGGCAGTGCCTACATGTTTCTTTCTTTGTTACTCTACTTATTGTGACACTTTTGTTTCTGGATTTCACCAATAATTGGAAACTGGCAAAAGGCATACATCAGTTTTAGTAAGTTTTGCTTCCGGGGGAGGTCTAGAACTTATTCCTCTGGGCAAATTTCCCAAAATTGGGAAGTGCTGGGTAAGTTGGTGGTGAGGATTCTCTACCTCCTGTTTTGGGAGGGTGCTGGAAACTTCTCATTTTCCATAGCACATTTACATACATTTTTATGTTGGAGTCTTCCAGCCTTCTGTGGGGATAGTTAGGAGGGCAAGTGTTATTCTAATTTTAGATACCAGTATATAGAGCGACCTTAAAGAGGTTAAGAGACTCACCCAAGGTCATATTGCTAGGAAGTGGAGGAGTCAAGACACAAACTTTGAATTTCAAGGCCAGTGTTTTTTCTGGATTAATATCTGCCTCTTTCAGAGGAGATCTTATACCCATTCCCTTTTTCCTCTTCATTTTCCTGACCTTCTCTAAATGCTCTTGCTCACCCCTCTCTGACATCTACTATTCTTTCAGCTGCATCTCCTCGGGTCCCTGTAAGTGGACCCCCAGATGGACAGGGTCCTCCTTCTGTTCCTCCCGGCAGGGCTCCATACTCACCTTGCCAGGGCCCAGAGCTCCTAGGTGCTTTGCTACTAGTACAGCTGGGGGAGTAGCTGCTGGGTTGGCTCAGGGCTCTGCTGAAATGTTCATCCACCACAGAGCTGATGTCCCCTTGGAAATAGGTGAAGAGAACGCAGCGGGAGTTGATGTACTCCGCCTCTGGTGGGCATTCTTTCTCTGGGCTGCTTTCTTCCTCTTTGATACTGGCTGGGGTTTGACTGGAAAACGAGGAGCTGCCGCTGGCACTGCTGCTGGGGCTGGCATTGCACTCTTGGGCTTCCTGCATTTTAGAGTAATAGGCTAGTTTCTGATCAAAGAGAGAAAGAATAGAGATGTCAGTTTCAAAAGAGATCACAAATTGTGTTTAGACTGAACTCCCTCATCCCACTCCCTAAGGTATCCATGGGGAAAGTAGCATCTGTGACTACCTCTTGTACTCTCAGTATGAAACCAGCAATAAGGGGGCATCAGTCCTCCCGACCTACACCCCAGCAAGAGACTGGTTCCATAGAGGAGATTGCTGTCCCTGGTTGGCAGTCTCCTTAGAGTTGCTGGTGGGCCACATGGAAATTTCTCCTAAAATGTCTGGGTGAAGGTTTGAGAAGACATCTACGCAGCCACATTATGAGCTAAGTTTGACCTCACAGCTGGGCTCAGGACAGATATATTTTTGAAAGCCAACTCCAAGGGTAAAGGACACTCAAGTCCAATTAGGGCCTGACTGTTCCCTGCCTCAGAATCCAGGGCAGAAGCACAAAAATGCAGGATTAAACGTCCTCATAGTAGAACGGAGGAAAAACACCCACAAAAGTCCACCTCCTGCAACCACGAATGTAAAAGATGAAGTCCACAAAAAGTTTGCAATGATCCCATGTACTAATGAATCATATGGGGCAAAAATGTGGGATAACATTGTGATTGGGGAAAGATGGATGATTTTAATAAATGCAAGCTGACATTTGGTGACCCATGCTCTGTCCATTTAAAAGTATCTCAGTTTTTAAGTAGGTTTCTCTTTAAGGAAAAAGCAGTGGACTAGAAGATTATGAATATTTCCACCCTCACCATCTCCATATTTACTGAGGAAATAATAAAAAGTAGCAGAAGGAAGAAATGTTAAGATCCTGGCTGGGGGGCTGAGTAAATGGTGATGTCTGATAGTAATGTTACAAACCAAGTGCCGCTGCTGAGAACACTTTGTAAGAAATGAGCAATGGATTGAACGCGGTGTTGACACATTCTAAAGGCAGAGATGGCCTTGAAGGGGGGCCCCAGTCACATGAAAAGGAACTGGAGCTCTTCAGGCAATAGATTGGTCCAGGGTCCAGGAGGAGAAAGGACCAGACAGAAAACCAACCAGGATCTTTGCAATACTCCCATCCTGGAAAGGAGCTCCAGTAATTTAGTAATATCATCACTTCCTACATGCCTACATGCCTACATGTTCCCAGCTGTTTTATAAGAAGGGACTCTGGGCAATTCCTAGAATTAACATCGAGACAAAACAAACTCTACATGGAAAAGTTTCAAAGAGAAAAAGAGGAGGGAGGAAAATAAAAGGCAAAACCTACCCGTTCCATCAGCGGGAAATTTCCGAATAGACATAGTGAATTTGCAAACAAAATTTATGAAAGTATCCACTAGGGCATATGCGCATACCACGATTTCAAGTTCTCCCAAGCAGTAGTCTGGGCCCTCACTTTTGAACCTGGTCTGGACCCCTACAAACCCCCAGGTGTATAATTTCATTCTTTCCCTAGACTACTGTCCCCGGTTTCTGATATGTCAGCTGAGGAAATGGAATGAAAAATTGTTCAAACAGACGAAGCCCCAAGAAAAGAAAAACTGGCAGAAATAAACAGAACTTGAAAAGTTTGCAGAAGCAGGGTTGAGCGGTCTTCTTAAAAGTGAGTTTGTTGAAAGCAGGGCTGACTGATTCAGCTACTCAGCCTCCAGAAAGGCGAAGTGTTGTCTAAGAAGCTCGCCTCTGTCGGGCCAGTCGCACTCCCATAAAGTTGAAAGCAAAAGATAACAAAACGAACGCATTCTGCTCAGTGCCCTTTAAAACGAATTCGTTGGTTCTACAATTGATTGTTCTGATAGCCCGAGATTGAAATGTTAGAAATTATTCCGGAGATAAGCTTGCCAGAAAGAGAACGTGCAGGCCTCTGCATCTCAGACAGAAAGACTGGCCTTTGCTTTTTGGTCATTTTCCCCTTTGGGACCAAAGTTTGTTTTTCCACCCCTGCCTGAGCTCTATCCGCAGCCTCCTCCCACCCCACACCTGCACCAGGCTCGAAGAATCTGGAGTCTGACAAACCAAGTGAAGAAGATTCAGCCTGTGCGGTTCTCCTCGGATTAGTCCCAGGAAGACCCAGAAGCGCACCAGCAGGATGTAGCTGCCTTCCAGAGACAGCGAATGGACAAGCCAAAGGGGTTCGCTAATTGTACAATCAGCCGTGGGGCACCGTAGCGATCCCCGCATCCGGGCGGGACGCTCCTCGGACCTCGGCGTACTGGCTAGGCTCCGGCAAGCCGGGGACCCGCCACCCGCCCCCTAAGTCCTGGTCCTGACCCAGGGGAGATACGTACCTGGTGGTAGGGCGTGTAGGCGGCTGCGAAGTAAGGCTGCGGAGGACCATACACTTGGTACATAACATCCAGACAGCTCATGGCTCTCCGCAGCGGAGCCGGTTAGCTGTTTTTTCATCAACTCTGGTTCGGCGGAGCTTAGGTGTACTGCACGGGCGGCTCTTGGGCCCGAGCTCCCAAGTCATCCGCGACAGAAGAAAGGGGCACCGCGCTCGGCGGCTTGGGATCCTTCTGGCTCGCTCCCCTCCTACTCCTGCGATTCTAGCCCGGACCGCGCTCCGGGACGGAAGCGCCCGGGCTCCAGCTAGAGGACCTTTAAAGCCCACGCTCTGCGGGCGTGCTGACGCCACTCTGGGCCGCAGAGGAGGAAGGGGCGGTGGGGAGGCGGGAACTGGGGGGCCAATAGGGAGCGAGGATCGCTGGTCAGAGGGGCCGCCGGTGTGTTTCAAGGGGCTCCCCCGCAGCTCGCCTGCAGGCCAAGGGTGCAGTAGACAGTGCGATCCGAATAGTGGAGCTTCAGGTTTCGCTCAGCGAGTAGTGAGCTATCCAGCTCAAATAGGATAAAGGGAGGGATCCGGGCTCCTACACAAAAATAAAATAAAAGAAAAAAGAAAAAGAAAGAAAGAAAGAAAATTCAGGACAAGAGTCTTCCTGGGAGCGTCCTACTCACACGCTGAACAGTCAAGGTGGAGCAGATTCTCGGCTCATCGAGAGAATCCTGTTGGAGAGGGAATGTGCTGTCCTTAGGGATCCAGGAGTCGCAGACAGCATGTTGAAGCAGTCTGGGGACTCCTCCCTGCTCAGAGGAGCTCCCTCTGCGGGGAAATGGCAGTGGCCGAAGCCCGTAACTGCTGTCCCCAGCCGCACCTCCTTTGCGCCTCCTGCGACCGGGTCCTGGGGCCCCCAGCACCACACCCCAATTCCGCTGCCTTAGGCAGTTCCTTTACTCTGGTCTAAATTTCGATCCCGCCTCTTTCTCTTTGATGTCCTCCACCGAAGCCGCTAGGCTGAGTCGTGCCCCGCCTCTGGCTGCTCCGGGTGTGAACTGCTTTCGAGGAGTCCAGGAGGCCTTACCCGGTCCCCGGACGCCTGGCTTTCCATGCCGATGTCTCCTTGGCCCGCGTCCTTTAAGGTTTTGGTAATTTTTTTTTTTTTTGAAAAGGGACTCACCGGCTCTAAAAGCAGGCATCCTAGAAATTACAAGAAGTCAGAGAGGACATTTGCTACCTCTTCAGCGGTGATAACTGCGACGCTGTGGTTCATTTTAGAGAGGGGAGAGAGTCAGCGCCTCAGCTGTGAAACGCTCACCGCCTTCTCTCCTCTGCGAGCTCTGCTGACTCAGAGCTCCTTCCTCACACCCCCTCCATCCTCCTCAAACCTTCCCGCAAACTCCGAGTAAACGGAGTGTAACGGGGAATCCTCAGTCCTTCAAATTTAGGAAGGAATTGAGACAAGGCTGTTTCTATTGGCTGGGTCAAGTGGCAGAAGGGACATCACGGGAATAGTGGGGAGCAGACTTGGGCCGGGCAGAGGTTGGAAGCGTTGAGGGCCTAAACCAAAGAAAGGGGCAGAGTGCATTACTGACACAAGCCAACCCTATTTATGCTCCAGTTTAAATTCAACAAAGTCTCACGTCGATTCTCGGGCTATAACTGAGAATAAATACGTCTTTGATGATGCATTTATGTTTTAAAAGCGACTATTTTAAGTCAAATTGTTTCGGGGTTGAAATTGTGGTTTATGCAGGGGGTGGTGGGGAGGGGTTAGGGTGGGCGAATTTGCTGGGGGATGGCTCCATATCTCCAACTCCGTTTATAAATGCTGAGCCCCATCTAGTGTAATTGGAGAGTTTCCTTAATTAACCCCATGTATTCTATTTGAATGAAAATTTAAAATAAAGACACTCCTCTAGTACAGTTTTACACAAGACTCTTTTTAGGAGCCCGAAGGCTAAGTTCTGCAGACTTCTTGATCTCCCCCAGATTCTGAAGTACGGGTGAAGCAGGACACTGCTCCCACCTCCACCACTACGGGCCTGCCCAGGAGTTTCGGATAGGGGCACAGCCGCCTATCTGCATTTGTTGGAGGACAAGAGAGCAAACTGTCAACCACAGGGCTACAGTGCATCCTTCTGGATCCGCGGAGGCGAGGCGTGCAGGCCCCAGTCAGCGCTTGCTGCACAACTTTGCTGGGGGTGGGGATAGGGAGGAGCCGGAGGCGGGGGCTGCTCCTCAGGTTGCTGGGCTGTAAGTTAGCCTGGCGGGTGCCAGTCAGATCAGGTGTAAGGACGCGCGGAAGCACAGTGTCGCTGCTCCCAGGACACATGCAACTCGGTTGCTGCTCGGTGAGGCTCTGGCGGGTCCCATTCCACCTTTCTCGGGGGTACTGCAGTGCATTCTGGATCCAAAGGTTCTACTTTGGTTCTCCCAGCTTAGGATGCCTCTGGGCCAGAGCATCAGTTGCCAAGGCTCGCCCCTTAACGTCGGCAGCGTGGAAGGCGGGGAGAGAATCTTTCCAGCCTCAGCCTGCGCTCCCAGCCCACGCGCGAGAACTGCTCTCGTCCCGCTTACCTCCAGTAGCTACTTTCTATCCCTTGTACGTGGTCACTTTGACACTTTTATTTCACTTTGGCCAGGGAACTAGAAGGAAGACCTTTGCTCTCCCCCACCCCCGCAAATTATACTGAAGTAGAAGTAAAACACAACTAAATTTAAACCCCTCCATTCTCCCAACCATACAAGCCACCAAGGCATTACCATGGTCAAAGATTCACATTCAAAGGCTTGGGAAGGGGCTACAGGTTGAAGGCGAATACAGAAAATTCTCTCCCCCCTTCCTTCGTTCCTCTCCCCAAGAAAAGGGTGAAAATCCAACACTTAAAAGTGCCCGAACTTGGGTTTCCTAGACGAACGCATGGACATCCTCAGAGAAATAAACTATTACCGACCACACTGACTTGCCTTCTAACTCCCTAGTTGGATAACACAAGTATCAAAGTTTTTTAGGAAAACATTCCCTTTTATGATACATTCATGGCAACTTATGGAACTGCCAGGTGGGAGCCATGTGAAATTAATGTTAAGCTCATCCACATTTCCTTTTAATACCTTAGTTCTACTTTGCAATTCTAACGACATCTGAGTCTGTAAAAAGAAGTTACCTTTATTCTCAAAGTTAATACGTGAAATTAAATTGTGTTTGAATGAATGTGTTATCGTGATAGCATCACAATGAAATACCTTGTCTTCACTTCAGAAATATTTGCTCCTCGTGTTTATGAACTAGCTGATTTCATTACCTGTATTTTTTTCTGTCACCTGTATCATCTTATTCTGAAAACTGCAAACACAGAGCTTTAAGGGAAGGACATATGAATAGATCTAATTTGGGGAACTGACTTGCAGCCAGCCAGGCTCTTCCTTGCCCACGGCTTATTTGGATAATGAGACTTGGCATTTTGCACCACCTTATTCTGCCAGCTGAAGGGTATAAACATAATGGTGATCTCATAAATTGTATCCTGAAATCTATTTTTCAGTATGTCTTACTGAGGGTAAATGTGTTTGGATTTAGGGGAGTAACTGACAAGCTTTTTGTGGATTCAAGCTGTTAATATTAACTGAAAACATTAGTTAGTATTAGTTGAAAGCCAGGTTTTTCAGATATGGTCTATTACTTGATACACTAGCAGTAGACAGTCTGAACGGTTATTTTCTTTGAAAGAATTCAAGGACAAAAAGAAGCCTATATACTTTGAAACTTCACTAAAAAACTATGTGGAGAAATTACAGGTGAAAAAACAGTGGAAAAAGAGGGTCGGGTTATCGTCATACAAACTTGTGGTAGCTCATACCAGCGTTTTCAAGTAAAAATCCTCCATGACCAGCTCAAGTGAAAAGATGAGACCACTTTATAATTATTATCATTCTGTGTCACTATTACAAGAATGTTAAGTTTTACCTCTTTTATACTTTTAAGACTATTTTCATATTATATACAAGTAAACTTTAGCTTTGGTGAAATAATCACAACTTTCTGAATTTGTTTTTTCTTGAATTTATGTTGAGGTGAATGCTAATTTCTAATACTGAGAAATAGAAATAAAACCATATTCATCTTCCAAAAATAAGCTCTTTTTAATGAGTATCTATGAAATGGTTAATATAAAGATATAATTGCATAAATTCAATTCATATGACCCAAGCCTTTAAAATAGGTAACAAAGGGCAACCAGCGAGATTTGACATAAATATGTGTCAAATATGTTGGCTTGTTATGTCTCTATAAGAGAGAAAAAACTAGAAGAAAATTTACATTCTGTAACATATATATTTTTTACATTCTGTAATATTTAGTCAGACACACAGAATTAAGTCAGAGAGCATAGGTATCAATTATTTCTTAATCAGAGGAGGTTGTTTTTCATCTCTACCTGGAAAAGTCAATGCCATTGCCTATAATTCCTGAGCCCATTAAAATATTTTGCTTTTCTTTGGAGAGACAATCTAGAGATAATAGCCTAGTAACTAAAATATCTGTGATAATACTTTTGCAAGATACAGGGACATAGAGGAATGTGCAGATTCCGAAGGTGAATGTAGAGAAAAGGATTTGAAATTCTGACGCAGATATATTTGATAGTATTTGTGTTGATCCAGTCTCAAACTCTTGTTTATAAACTTGATTTCAACAAGATGTTAAAGGGATTTAAAGGAACCACAACAGTAACAGAAGGTGAAGATGTCTATCTGAGCATCATGTCCTGGCACATCCTTCAAGAGGCCTTGAAACAATTTCTTAGAGACTCTCAGAGGAACTTTCTCCTGGCGTGCATAATATGAATAATTTTTGTCATTGACTAAGACACCAATCTTTTTCTTTTTTAGCCCCTTTTGTTGTTGTGGCTGATTTTTAAGCCTATTTTTTGATGACATACATACATTAGGTTTAGCCATTTCTTTTTTTTTTTTAATTAAATGATAGCTGTATACATTAATGCAAACATGGGGTACAGTGTACTGTTTTCATATACCATTTCTTATGTAAACCATTACGCGTCAGGACCTTCCGCCAAGCAGGCTGCAAAGCAGGCTATATTTGTTAAGTTACGTTCTTAACTTCATGCTATCAATACTATGCATCCTATTTTAAGGTGAAAGCCCAGTTGTTGCCTATGAAATTTAAACCTCTCCAGGTATATTATTATTTCAGCTTTCTTGAAAACCATGAATCAACCTTTTTTTGAACTAATCCAACCCATAGAATTATTTGAGATTTTAAACAGCTGAGTA